GGTGGAGGTGTATTGCCAATGCATAAAATTTCACTGGAGGTTTGAGTGTGAGCTCTGCTGCAACAGAACCGCACCCTTCTGGCGTGGGGGTTCATATCTAAAGTTGGATGGCTAATTTTAGCTGGTTTTGCAGAAAAGTTTTGCCACTGGAACAAAACATTATCTCAAAGAAACAGGTGGCATTCAATGGCTGTGGGCATCTGTGTACATGTGCTTTATGTGGGTGGGTGCAAGATGGGCTACACTGCAGTAGGTTGAAATGAGTAGCTGGATAAAGAATTCCCTGCAAGATTTTGCACCAGGTTAACTAAGCTGATTTCAAACAATACCTATGGCCTAAATTCGTAGAGCAGCCCAGTTGTTACACCCAGCAGCTGGGTAGTGCAAACCAAGTGACTGCAGCTGCAAGTGAATCTTTAATGAAGCTGGACATGGCAGGTAGGACTGTGCTTGGTGTGGTTTGCACTCCCTTAGTTCACACATAATGCTTGAAGTGATTCTTAAGTTCAAGAAATAAAGTCACAAAAATACTGTCTCTACATTCTTGGGGGTTTTTGATCCTGAATGTAACTCTTTTACATCTGCAAGCTTAATACAAAGATGTCTTTCTGTCCCTATTGTGAATATAGACATACATAATGCACTAGAGTGCATTACTATTGCACTGCAGCTTTATATTCATACTGGATATTACACTTTGCAGTTTGTTTTTCCTTTTTAATGACTGTTACAAGAAACTTATATTTACACAGGATGACTCGCTAAGGATTGAGGAAAAAAAAGTGTATACAGTATGATATGCCCGTCTTCGCTCTGTCTTGTAATTACAGCATGTCCACCAGGTCACAGCACTGGATGCAGACACAGACTTACTGTTTGCAAGCTCATCTTTCGCACAGAATTGAGCAAATGCTCTTCCCACCCCTGCCTCAGTTTTAGGGAGATTTTGAGAGTCTTTCCCCTTTTGACCTCCCTAAACATCATGTGCTGCAATTAGTGCTGATACTGGTGTTTATTTCTCTAAGCAAAAAAAGCACAATGTCAGGAGTTTCTTGCTTAATCTTTTTTGGAAATCCGTCTTTCTTAGTGACTTTTTTTGGAAGGTAGAGTGTCTTCATGATGTGTTCTCTCTCTTTCCCCCCCTTTTCTTTCCCCCCTCAAATTACACTCAATACAATTCCAGTATAGGAGTTCTTCACAAATCCCTTGCTCGGTTTGGCATCCCTTCAGAAGAGATTTGAATGCAACTCATTCAGCCTTGCTGTTGCACAACACTGTGAGTTATCTGTGTATTTAAGTGGGTCTTGCATTTGTTTTTTCAGCAAGAAAGTATAAAAAAATCAAAGTTAACTTGGGAGGTGGGACAAATGTATATTTTGTTAACATTTTGATTACAAGAAGGTAATCAAGTTAATCGTGATTTGTAAATGTGTAGTTAAAAGCAAGTCTAATAGAGGAAAAACTAATTGGTTTTGAATTTCTGTGAACAATATTATTTGCAAACAATTGGATTTGTCAGTGGAAATGAGCTGGAATTATGCAGGAGAGTGGAATGAGTCTTTCTCTGAGAAATACCTCCCTGGCACTGATGAAGTCATAGCTGGATTTATGTTTGAAGTTTTGTTCTGAATTTTATGTCCTTTAGGTTTTTTTCCTAGATGTTTGCTGAAGGACTGGTTACTGGTTTTTTGTCTGTTTTTTTTTTTTTTCTCTTTCTGAAGCAGTTAAGTGGATTGTCAAGTTGCCTTGGAAAAACCCCCACAATAACTCATCAGAAGATGTTTCACATTTTTCAGTATCGGCCTTTGAGACTAATAACCCAAAACAGTCTTTCTAGCATGTGTTTAAAACTGATGCTTTCAAGACCTGTTGCATTTGCACAGATATGGAAGTCTTGGTTCTCAAGCCATTCTCTTCTTGGAAACAAAAATATTATCTTGATGGGACCTCCAGGTGCTGGGAAAACAACGATTGGGAGAATAGTAGGCCAGAAACTAGATTGCCCTGTCATAGACATAGATGACGATGTCCTTGAAACATCCTGGAATATGAGTGTGTCAGAAAAACTGCAGGACGTTGGTTATGAGGAATTTCTAGAGGAGGAAGGAAAAGCCCTGTTGAATTTTTCAGCATCTGGAAGTGTCATTTCCCTTAGTGGGTCCAATCCAATGCATGCTGCTGGCATGCAGCACGTGAAGAAAAATGGAATAGTTGTGTATCTGGATGTGCCCACAACAGTCATTATGAGCAGGCTGAAATCAATGGCAGTGGATCGCATCGTGGGCCTGTCTGCAGGTAATTCTCTCAAGGACATACTTCAGTTTAGGAAGCCATTTTACAAAAGGTGGTACGACGTCCGTGTTTTTTGTGGAGAGGATATTGCAGCAGAGGTTGTAGCAGAAAAGGTACTTGATGCTGTGAAGAGATACCAAGACTCAGAACTGGAAACTTTCATTTCAACTCGGTCTAGTAGGTCTGGAAGGAGTATGGAAAAAGACTCTCATAAGTATTTCAGTGACATTGTTATTCAGGGCTTAGCCCCTGATGGAGGACTCTTTGTTCCCGAGAGACGACTTCCAAAATTCACTGCTGGAGAATGGCAAGGTCTGATAGAAGCAACTTACATTGAAAGAGCTGAGGTCATACTAGAAAGATGCATACATCCTGCTGATATTCCTGCTTCTAAACTGGCAGAAATTATTGGAACTGCTTATGGAGAAAACTTTAGTTGTTCTAAAGTTGCCCCAGTAAGGCATTTGGCAGGCAATCAGTTTCTTTTGGAGTTATTTCATGGACCAACAGCATCATTTAAAGATTTTGCATTACAGTTGATGCCACATTTATTTGCCTCCTGCATTCCCAGAAGCTGCAATTACTTGATTCTGGTAGCTACTTCTGGGGACACAGGGAGTGCTGTCCTAGATGGATTTAGTCGTCTCCATGACACTGACAAACAGAGAATTGCTGTGATGAATTTTTTTCCTGAGGATGGAGTAAGCCCAATTCAAAAATCTCAGATGATTGGCTGTCAGAAAGAAAATGCATGGTCAGTGGGTGTCAAATCTGATTTTGATTTTTGCCAGACAGCTATAAAGCAAATCTTTACTAATTCTGATTTTACCGGCTTTCTTACAGTAGAATATGGAACTGCTTTAGCTGCAGCAAACTCCATAAACTGGGCACGACTGCTTCCTCAGATAGTTTATCATGCTTCTGCATACCTTGATCTTATTCATCAAGGTATTATTCCTTTTGGAAGCCCTGTGGATATTTGCATTCCTACAGGAAACTTTGGCAACATATTAGCGGCTTTCTATGCTAAAATGATGGGAATTCCTATCAGAAAATGTATTTGTGCTTCCAATGAAAACAATGTTTTGACTGACTTCATAAGAACAGGTGTTTATGATTTGAGGGGAAGAAAATTAATTCCTACTTTTTCATCAGCAGTAGATATTTTGAAGTCCTCCAATCTTGAGCGATACTTGCACCTGATTGCTAATGAAGATGGACAACTGGTAACACAATTATTTAACCAGCTGGAAAATCAGGGCCACTTCCAGCTACGGAAAGATCTACTTGAAAAACTTCAGCAGGACTTAGTGGCTGGCTGGTGCTCTGAGGAGGACTGTCTAGCTGCCATTCACTCTGTGTACAGTACTACAGGATATATTTTGGATACGCACACAGCTGTTGCTAAAGTAGTTGCAGATCGATTGCAGGATAGAACTTGCCCGATTATTATTTCATCTACAGCTCATTATTCTAAGTTTGCACCTGCTATCTTGAGGGCCTTGAGGATTGCAGAAATAAACCAGAATCCATTAAGTCAGCTTCACTTGCTGAGTTCTTACAGCGCCCTGCCTCCAATCCACTGGGGCCTATTAGAGACCCTGAAAAAGACAGGGAAGGGGGATCACCAGGTCTGTGCTGCTGATATGAGTGTGCTGATGCACCATATAGAAACCTTAATTCAAAATCATTTCATGAAAGTTTTTTGAGCAACTGATCCAATATCCCCAGTGTCAGTTGCAATACCTTCTTAACAAGCTGCATGTTTTACTAAATCTGTCATTCACCTGGGCTGTGTCCAGTCCACAGTACAACATCCACAGTTTTATACTCAGTTGTCAAGCTTTCAACAGTATTTGTAAGTAACATGTGTGAGATTTCTAGTGGTGGTGAAAGGCTGTGAATTGAGAGTGTAAAAGACTGGAATATCTTTTTGAAGGTCAGACACAGTAGAGATGCCGGCACTACTGGCTTTCCTTGGCAGTGCTGTCTCCTTCAGAAGCCTGAAGTGTCCTCCATGGAAGGACACAGATAATGAAGTCTGACCTTTCTGAAACTAATAGCTCTGGTTTTGTTGCAACAATGATGTGATCCTTTGGTCTGCGGGTGATTAATTAAACTTTAACTCATTTCACTTAGGTCACTGAAACATAATAAGATACTATAATAATGTTCACATGTTACTAATGAGAATGGATTTCACTACAAAGATTGAAGTGTAGTTGTATTATTAATCCCTGAACCGTTGAATTTTGTGATATCTTTTTGTATAATGTTTTATTATGTATCATGAGGCCAGTGTTTATGAAAAAAAATCTGGTCTTTTTGTTTTTCACACTTTTTTCTCCCAGATATTTTCCTGTGTCAAATAGAATACTTGATTCAATATTTTTAATATATTTGAGATGTGACTCTTCCTCCAGTGTGTTGTGGTCTCTCTCCTGTATGTGTTCTGTTTCAACTTTCAACTTTAGAATTCTTTTTTAATCCCATAGAACTGGTACTACACTGCTAGTAGTACCAGTGGTCTTCTTAAATAACAACCAGACCTTGCCTTTTATTTACACTTATTTTTTTGCATTATAAGTTTTATCTTTGACGTCATAGAGCTTTCTTGTTCTAATTACTTCTATTTTCCTATTTTCTTAAGTTAACGCCCTTGATGTTCTATTCGGTTCTTGCCGAAGTGTAAGAAAGTGAATTAGTGTAAGAAAGAAGCTTCCCAAATTGCTTGGCATCTCATCAAGGAAAGCGAAGGATGAATTCCAGTGTGATAGCATCAGAGGTATTCATTATGTAACCTAAAATAGATCTGTGTGGTTTTGCTAATGACAGGCTCTTTATTGTTTTTTTTCTGAAGAAAAAAGATAGAGTAGGTTGTACTAGGAGATCATGTGGTTATGGAGGAATGTATTCTGGTACCTGGGGATATATTTGGCAATGACATAAAATAAACTACATTTCACACTAAGATATATGGCGAAATGATGTATTGGCTAGTTTTGAGTGGCACACAGTTACAGGTAAAGAGCTGTCCGTCATCAGATGGGAGGTCGACTTTCCCACCAAGATTCAAATAATCTGGTAATTGTTAACATTTTTTGCCTCTTTGATAGGCAACATTTGCTAGATGTCAAGATTCACTTGGGACTTTGAACTGATATCATATCTGACATCTTCCTCTGTGTGCCTTCTTGCCACATTAGAGGTGAAGAAGACACCACCTAGTAAACTATTTTAAAGAATTGTCATTTAAAGAATTTCTTCCAGCCTAAGGTAAAAGACCCAAGCACTTTGCCACAGTGGCTGCATTATACAGTATAATTAAATGTAGCTGATAACGTAGGTGTAACACAATAGCTTTCTAAGTAATGCCATTCTTGGATACCTTTTTAGAACTTTGTAGTTCTTTTCTCTGCTCAATCCTCATTCACTATTTCTGCAGTAACTTTGAAAAATAAGTTTTTGTTTTCACAGAATCGTGAGCATCCCAAGTGGGAAGGGATCTCAAAACATCACCCAGTCCAACCTTTTGTGGGAAAGGGAGCCTAGATGAGATTATCTAGCACCCTGCCCAGGCAGTTCTTAAAAACCTCCTGCGATAGGGCTCTTCCACATCCCTGTGGAGGTTGTTCCACTGATTGAGTGTCCTCACTGAGAAAAATTTTTTTCTTATACCAAGATGAACCTTCTCCTGGTGCAACTTCCCCTTTGTCTCCATGTGTCTCCCTGTGAAGAGAGAGCCTCTGTCCTCTTTCTAGCCACCACTGAAGTACTGGAAAGCTGATGAGGTGCCCCCTGAACCTCCTCCAGGTTGAAAAGACCTGACTCATTCAGTTTCCTCATGTGGCAGGGGAATTGTCATTTTCCAGACACAACATGGGAAAGACCATAAATATGTAATTTTTTAAAAAAATCCAAGTTCTGTAAGAAAGAATTGCATAAGCATATTGCCAAAAAAGAAGCATTGCTTGTGTCGGTGATAAGGCACATCCACCTTGTATTTCTGTATGTTTCAGTCTGATTCTTACAGTAGTTCCAAGTGGAAAAAAAATTTAATGCTTTCTCTAGATGTGCTCAGTACAAGACCAGAATTCTAAATCTTAAAAAACCCAAACAAATCCAAACCCAAACAAAGCCAACTGCCTGGACTGAATTACTGGAACAGGAACTGGTTTTAGCTTCAGAATTCAGTGGAGATCCTGCAGTAACTGGTTCCATGGGGCTTAATGCCATTTGACATCACGGGTCAATTTGTCATACAGTTACAATACTTTAAAAAAATGTCTTCAAAGAAGAGCTTGTTTTCATAGAAAGTACCTGAAAGAGAAAGCTGAGGTTCTAAGATTAGACTAGAAGCCAACATCCTACCCTGAGATAACTCACTGTTAGTTAAACCAGTCAGAACTAAACTAGCAGGGGATTTATTTTGGCGTGACTCAATCAGTATTTCAAAGTTTATGGCAGTAACTCAAGCTTGAAGTAGAAAGTATTAGTAAAGCTTCCAGTTGCTGTTTTCCTATTGCATGAGCCATTATAACAGTTGATACAAATTGAATAAGTAAAAAAATGAGCAGTTGTACCTAGTTAAGGGTTTTCAATGTGGACTTAAGGTCTTTAAAGGCAATGGTTAAAGAGCACATAAGGTATTAATACATTTCTCAGAACGTCTAAACGCTTTTACATTACAGTATTTGCTCATTTTCAACAAATAATTAATTTCAGTGAACTATTTTTGTGCGCTACATCTGCTTGTGGATCCTCGTAATGGGCACTATAAAATGCTGCAGTAGTGTTGTGATCCTGGATATGCACACTATTTGTCACCTGGTGCTGATGCTGTGTTCTGGCAGCTGTGATGTACAATCTCCTGGCTTGCCTTGTTCTGCTGGGCCTGGGGAAATAGAAGAGAAAAAATTTCCAGCATACTCAGTATAGCTGGCTGTGGGGACATAGGATAGAGAGGGAAGCAACCCTCCTGTCATCCCAGCCTGGATTTTCTTAGTGTTAACAATATACTGTGATTCGAAAAACACTGTGCTGCTGTTACTGTCTTTTTTTCTCCCCCACTATCAGTATTATGAAATATTCAAAAGACATTAAAGAGTGGACACAAGTGACCTTTTTTGCCTTGTGTGTTCAGTGTGCAGACATTGTGCACAGCGAATGCTGTCATACAGTGTTTTCTGTTAACTTCTTAAGGCAAAAATGGTGTGCCAATGATACACAAGGGCAAATCTATATGGTGCTGGTTAGGAGGATTCCTTAAGCCATTTAGGCTTGCTGAATACACAGTTTGCTCCTGTTTGTCTAGCGATAGGATGTTTCAGTCTCAATCAATAAAAGCCGGGTTGACAGAGAGTGTGAGTGTGCATAGATACACATTGCCACTAGATACACGTTTCCATTAGCTTTGTTGACCTGGAGTAAAAGCATAGCTTTAGTTAAGCTGTTATTCATATGTATAGATAAATGTTTGCTGAACACTTGCTACTACATGAAAAACCTTAAGGATGAATGTAACAAATGTAAGGACAAACGTAATGTCTATACTTACACTTTTTATTACAGGAATGTTTATGTGTAAAATACTGGTTTGCTTATACATGTACCAGCTGCTCATTACTTGCCTTTAGTTACAGCCCTTCTCAGGGTGACAAAGAGTGATGTGAGGTAAAGGGTGAGTAGAGCACATAGGGACAACTTGAGAAGATAATTCTGTTTTCTTAGTATCTTACAATTCAAAAATAATCGCTATTTATGTTTTTGAGGCAATGGAATATTTTAGCTGGTGGAACTCTGCAGGGAAGATTCTTGGTTTTTGTGCTGTCAACTTTGCTCTTCAAGGACATCAAGAACACACAATGCTATTAAGTATATCATGTTTGGCATTCCTGAAATATGCATTACTTATTTGTATCCACCATATTTTTTTCCAAATAAAACTGGAGGATCCACACTGTAGCACTTTCTTTGTAAATATGTTTGTAAATCCTTATCAATCTGATATAAAGAAAATCCACTAAAAGAAGTGGGGTTTAGAGTTTGATATTCTTAACTCTTGAAAGACGTGTTCCATCCTGTGTTTCCTTGAAAGCTAGATGTATAGTAACCGATAATCTTGTAATTCACTTTGCTGAGACCGAGATGGTTAGTGAGATAATTTGCATCATTCTGGAAGGAAAGTATGTATAGAAAAGAATCCCACATCCAAAATAGCAAATGTCTAAACACTCTGTTTATGTTGCACACAGACATGCCTGGTGCTGCATGGAAAGCCTACTGTATTTTGAGGTATTAGTATGGAAAAGGAAATCTCTGACTGTTTAATCTTTCTTATTCACACTTAGTTCAGTAGAGACATGAGCTGGTTGTCTTAACAATTGTGGACCAACCTTCATTCAATTGGAAAATTATTTCAGGATCATGGGCTTAAAAATCACTTGAATAGTTGAAACAGCGATGAGTAGTTAATGTCAGTGAATTAAAGTGAATGGCCAGTTGATTCTGAACATGTATTAGCAGCTTAAGGAGGATTTACATGTTACTGTGTTTTTCCACAGGAGTTATAAGTGTACTCAGCATGCTTATCAGAACTGGGAAACATGCAGAGTATCACCCAAAAATGTAAAATTCATCATGACAATAATTGAGTCAAACTGGAAAGGAAAGATTGAACAGATTTGTTATGTGAGTTCACACAGGATTTGGCTCTTGACCATGAGTTTGTTAAGAACATAGGAGGAAATAAAGTAAAAGTAAAAAATCTACAGATGCCACAAAACTTAAATACTAAGGAACTGCTCAAAGAGAGTAAGATGAATTGCAACTTGCATTTCACTGTGGCCTAAAATGAACCTGAGTTTCTACTAGCATGGAGGTTTGAGAACATACTTAGCAAGTAGAACAATTTGTGGTAGGAAATACTGACTTTGAACAGTGTGTGGAGACAATGTGCATTCTCAATTGAACATGAATTTTCAGCATGCCTTGCAGCCAAAAGGGCTGGTGAGATCCTGAGGTTTAGAAATGGGAATACTGTCAGGGAAGTGATATTGTTGACTATTTGACTCTGGTGTAACCTTTTGAAAGAATGCTATGCCCAATTCCAGGAGTCATAATTTTCAGTAGTGCTGGGAAGTTGGACAGACAAGGCCATGAGAGCAATAGAAGGATTAAAAAAAAGCACTGGCATGAAAGTCTCAACAAACAGAATTTACTTAGTTTAGTGAAAGAATTAGCCTAGACAAACCATCTTTGGAGAAAAAAAAATATAATAAGGAACTGTTCCATCTAGCAGTGAAAGAGTGATCCAGCAATTCTAAGTAGAAGTTGGACGTGTTACAAGAAGGGATAAAGGTACATAACAGAATGGTAAAGATTTCCCTGTCTGGACATGTTAGATGATTTCATGAAAAAATGTGATTTGATAGAAAGAGGACCAATTCAGACAAGTCAGATCCATGTTACACAACAGGTCAAATTAAATAATCACAAGTCATATTTGGCTGCCCCAGGAGTAACTTGTCTGCTGACAGAATTTCACAGAGGTTTGAGAGCCAGAGATTGTGAACTCATTTCAGTTCTGCTGTAGTGTGATCAGTACACAGAGCAAGTTGTGTGCTAAATAGGCTACTGGATACGTTTAGCCTTGTTCTTTCTGTCTCTAGAGAATTGCAAATGGTCTACTAATGCACACTCTGACTTGACTCATGGCTATTAGGATATGGCTCATTAGTTTTAAATTTCATTATACAAAAAGTCCTGTGATGGTTTGGGCTATAAATACTTTCATTATGAAAATGAGGTGAACAGACACAGAAGGAAAGTGCCTGTGTAAATGTCAGCTTTATTGAATGTAGCTAACTATTATTTATTTTTCCAAGCTTTTAAAAGTTAGAGATCTTTTAAGGTTTATTAGATGCTCTTGGACCCCTTCTTTCCATTCTTGTTTACCTGACATTTCTCTGTGCTTTCACAAGCAAGTTGCAATACAATGGCTATTTTCAATTCATTTTCAGCTCATAACAGGATCTATATAAGACAAAATGAAAAATCCAGTGTTTCCTTATTTGTAGTTAAACTCAACCTTTTATATGCCAACCAAAGATGCCCTATAAAGCTTAGAGAAGTTAAAGTGTGCTCATAGGGTTCTGCTCTAGCAACATATTATGATAAAAATGTATTTTCTGTAAATTTTAGAATAATTCACTAAATTATATCTAAATAGAGTAAGCATTTAGTGGACTTTTTTACTAAGTACATGTGGCAATCTGATTCTGTTTAAAATGCTAATAAATGCATCCCATCTCTAATGAAACTAGTGCTCCCTGCATAATTAATTAGCATTTAATACAGATGAGGACAGGAAAGCCATATTCACAGTCATTTTTAACCAGAATAGTTAATAAAAGAATTATTCACAGTTCTGAAAGGTCACACGTGAATAGCTCATTTCTGCAAAACGGATATTTTTTTGCAAGTAAAAATTTTAGTGAAGTTTACCTGGAATCGTTGGTCCATACAGCTTTTATCCACAAGGTGGCATTCCTAACAGGAGTTTACAAGACATGGTAATTTCTTGCAGTTTTTGAAGCGCTCTAAGTGAAAGGCAGTCATAAGCATTTGTAATGTTATATGAGATTTTTATGTTTTAATTTTTATAAAATGCAATTAACAGTAAGTCAGAAACATTAATGATAATTAGTTTAATACTGATTGATATGTGGAGTACCCAGAAATATGTGATGGTTCCAGGTCAGCAAAACAGCATATTAATTCATGGCATTATATGCTACTATGGACACTTTCCAATGGTAAATCCGGAATCAATTTTGCTTTAATAAAAGAATATAAAATAATAAAAAAATCAATTATTTAAATCAAGAGCACAAATAATATCATGATCTTATATGCAAAACCCCAGTGTTTGGGGTTTTGGTTATGATGCAGCTTTTAGTGGATGCTGGGTTAAAGAAGAACCCATAACAGTATTCACAGGGGAGGATTTTTCATAGCTTAATGTTACAATGACCAAGAAGGGTATTTTCAGATGCCTGTCATCCAGGTTGGTCACTGAGCCCACAGGCAGCCCTGCTTTCTTTCAGGCTTTATATCTTTTTCACTTTCCTGTAATCTTTGCATGCTATATATATGTATAAAAAGAATACATTGCTCGTTATTCATTTTATACAAGCATGAAGGGAGTATAATACAACCTGCTAAACCAATACAAGTGTACTAGGTTTTATATAACAGAGACATGCATATTATGCTTTTCTCTCCCATGGGTAAGGTTCTGATCTTACTTTTGCTTCTTTTGCTGACTCTGTAAGATCAGACCTGAGCTAAGTAATCATTTCTGTTTCCCTTTTAGCTAGTGCCCTAGTTGCATTTTGTTTGGAAAAAAAGCTATAACCTTAAGTTTATGCTTAAACTGGAATCCAGTGTAAACTGTGCATTTATTTTTTTTTCAAGTCTATTTCAAGTCAACAGAAAGGAATACGGTAGAGTAGTTGTTTATTTGTTTGTTTGCCTTATTGTTTTGTGGTAGCAAAAATTCTATGGTGTCTTTTCTAATGCATGTGTACATTTCCTGTTAATCCTTCTGCTCCACGTGCCGCCCCCCACTGATACCAGAGCCCTCTGGTTTTGCTTCCTATCATTTAACACAGCTGAGAGGTTGGAGTAGCAGCTACATCCACTGCTGACACTAATGACAGTCTTTGCTGAGAGACAGGGTACTACTTTGACATTAAGCAGATATTCTTTTTCCTAACATGCTGTTATACCTCTCTCATTTCTCAAAGATGGCTATGAAAAGTGGAATATGAATTCTTGTTCACTGAAAACAACTGTCAGTCAAAAAACCCCGACTTTCAGAATGATTGGGCAGGTAGAACTTACCTGCTGGATGAATCTGGCACAAGGACTGCAGAGACAAACCTGAGTTATTATTGTCTCATGATGACTACCAGTAAAATTTGAGGGCCTGAACATCTCCTATATACCGCAAATTTTAAAGAAATGTGGTGACAATGTCTATTTCAAGGGTGTGGAAATGGCTGGACAAAGAAAGTTATACATAATAATTAGGAAATGTTGATGAGGAAGTAAATAATTTGTGGCTGTTACCTTTCAAGTTACACATTGAATTTTCTTTGTAGTACTTAGATATAGGATTAGGTGAGTAGATGGGGACAAGGTTCCTCTGAGAAGGGCAACAAGCCTCTCCTAGGGAGGAGGTTTAAAAATAGGGAAAACAAATGTACTGAGGAAAGGAACATTCTCTGCTTTGATGACTGCCATGTAGAAAGGGCTTGTAGTGAAGGATAGTCTGTAAACAGAACTATACACAGCTAAACAAGTGAACAGGTCAGTCAAGGTAATGGCAGGGTTCAGGGTCCCCCAAAAAGCCGTAATGTGTAGGGTGCGATGGACACCACCAGTAGAAATCAGTGGTCTTGAGCATTGCTGATGTTGCTTCTGAGACATCTCATGATGTTGGATCAGATGGATAAGTACTCCAGCTCCCAGAAATGCGGGAAGGAGATTGCACTGAATTTGTCCTTTTGCCTGAGTTATATGACAGCAACTAAGAGTTCATATAACCAAGAGCTTGCAGGTAACACTGTCAGAAAAAAAGTCCATACTGACTGCAGACAAATAATAGTCCTGATACTTTATGATGGATCTGCAAATTACTTTGTTAGTACAAAGCACGTCAGGGGCTAATTTGATGCGGTTTATTGTTTGCAAGAGGTGGATTATAAATGTTGGGAATTGCATCTTATGTAACTGCTGCTGGGTAGGCATAGGTATGAGTAAGTGTGAACTGGGAAAGGAAAATGATACTGGGAACTGTAACCATAAGTATTATCGCTTCCCATATGTAACAAACTTGTGCCTAGGGCAAGGAAGCACAATTACTGACAGAAGCTGTGTTTGTTCATGCAAGTGATTTTATTGCTCTAAGTGATTTATCACTGTGGATTATGTTTTTTGATGAAAGACTTTTCTGGAATAATTGTACTCAAAAGGAAATGAGTTGTTTACCTTCAATAGACAACCAGGTCTGTCCATTGAAAATAAGTTACATTTTTAAAGTACTTTTATAAGGGTTTTTAATTGGTGGGATACAACGGGCCATTATGCAATATGGGGGTTTGCTTCCCCAAGTTAGTAACATAATCTCTTTCTCTCTCTCTCTTTCACTTCCTCGGTCTCAGAAATCTAGAACTACACATTTTAGAAAATCATCAGATACTTAAATATTTCATACACTTCCAAATTATATTTCACTTCATCTATTATCAAAAGAATATGCTGGATTCTCTGAATTTATATTAGGTGCTGAAGATACATTGATGATTACTGAAAAACAGTCCTCATTTCCTTTACAAAAAGATGTTACATTTTCAAATTGCGCAGCACCTGAATTGCCGGAGTCTCTGTTCCTTGTGCTCCTGGATCACTGATGGTAAAGCTCTTACTTTCTTATGCATTTATACTGTTGTGAAAAGAAATAGTTATAAGTACAGGTACCTTCCTTCTCAGAGGCATCTGAATGCAAAACAGACACAGTTATCCACTATGGTACTTTGGCCTGACATGGGAATTACTTTACTAAAGGCAAATCAAACCTAATACCCAGTCAACCCCTGTTCAAATGCAGAGTGGCAAAGCTGAGCCGGAAGATACCAAGTGAAAAGTGAACTTTCCAATGCTGTATAAAAGCCAGTTGAAAACTACTTCACAAACTACTAAGATCTCTGTAGTGCCCAATACCACAAATTGTTACTCATTTCCGCAAGGCACAGCTGACAGCTGACGGGGGAAATGAAGAAATATAAATTACTTTTCTTTTTAAAACTGTCCAAAATAACATTTGCCTTCTGTGAGCACTTAGCTACTTGTGCTAAGCCTTGGGGTGAAGAGTGAGTCTTCCACCTCCCAAAGTGGTGGCTCTTTCATGAGTTCCGGGGCAGCAGAAGAATCATCTTCAGTGATGAGATTTTTTTCCTTGTATTAATGCATGATCTGTTTCATAAATCAAATTACATATAAATGAAACAGCTTAAAAGTAACTGTGCAGCTGAGCAACTGATGAGTTATTGTGCCTTATGGCTGCTGTGGCTGTGTGGGTAAGCACGAAAAAGACAAAAATTGGTCTCTTTAACCTCCAGTGTCCCTTCTATCTCCCCTATGAGTTTCCTGTCACTTTAATTTAGGATGTATTTTGATCAACTTATGAAATCAATTATATGATACATTTGTCTCCAATTCCCCAGAAACAATTATCTAGTCCTGTGTTCCTAAATTCCCTCCTGTACGCTGCCTTACTATGTTGGTTTTTTTTTGATAGCTGTAATAGATGTTGTTAGTGACGATGCTGTTTGTAGATCTGGTTTTAGAGGTTAGACAGAAGAATTAAGCAACATTTGGAGTGTCATTGAGACCACCTTGGTAATTTTTTTTGGTTTGTAAAGCAGATGTCTCTATAATGCACTCAAATTCTTCACCGTCACCCATTGTCATAAAGTCATTTTAGCATAACTATTTTTTAATTCTCTAAGCCTTTTCAAGGAATAATTTAAAGTAAGTCTTTGTTGGATAAATTTAACTCTATGTTACAACTCAAAATACCAGAATCATAAAATTTAGAAAAAATATTCTTGTAATAAGCATTTTGTAATTAATTTAATTGGGTTTCTTCCAGGCTGATACTTGGACTACAAATCGAGAGTTTTATTTCCCTTTTGGCCTCAGGTATCCTCTGAAATGTTCAGACTTGAGTTCTATGAACTGTGTTGTCATTTTGTGTTGTGACACTGTGTTATCACTCTAATTCTGACAGCAGGATTTTACAAACTGCCATGAGTTCTGAACAAAAGGAAAAGTGTATGTATGCAACAATTTTCAGTGGATCGGAAAACCAGGAGACATTATTTTGTTATTATAACTTCACCTAAGAGGAGAAGAGGTGCATATGTATGAGCATGCAGATATTTGATAAGTTGATATCTTTCCCAGAAAGCTTGAAAGTGGTGATTTTTGCAACATTTCAAATTGATTAGGGGATGTTGGGGTTTTTTTCCTACTCAGATTCATGAAGGAATGACACAAAAATTAAGAGCTATTTTTAAAATCAGATTTTGATATGTAGAAAATAATAAATGGGGGGAAAGTGGTAGCAAAAGTCAGATCCAGTGAATAGTGAGAAACTGGACACAATTCTGCCAAATGTCTGTGAATTGATGCCCAAGACTGAAATTCTGACACCTTAAACAGTTCTTTTAAACATGACCATGACTAAAGCAGGCTGTTTCTAGCCTTAAAATCTTACTATAAAAGCAGAGCTGTGGTTTTCTTGAGAGATTTTTGTAAATTCTTGCTGCAGGGAGGCTAGGTAGCAGGGAAACAGCTTTTTAGGGGGAGCTGACAGGGGTGGTTCTACTTTTTGTCCGGCAATAATTCTGATCTAAAGGAATAAGAAAGCATTGAAAATTTTATTTAAACCTCAGAAATTGTATTTAACATGGGATGGGCATTTATAGTTTAGCAGTCTGTTTATCTGAAGCTGTATGACTTCTTCCTGACTGTGAAGGTTCCCAAGACATGTTGTTCAGTTTACTGTGTGTTTTGAGAGACAGAAAACGTGAAAGAATTTATGTATATGCACATAAATAGATATATATATATATTTAATGTATATATATACACATTATATATATAATGTATATATAATGTACATGCATACAGACTGTATATATGTTTCAGTTTATTGTGTGCACAGAATATCATGCTCTCACGCTCAGGAACACAGCATGGTCCACAGCCCAGGGCCCCAGCTGGCCTTGGCCTTTGGCTGGTTTTGTGCAGCACTGTTGCCTGACCTTGGCTCACTGTCACTGAGAAGGCTGTCACTGAGCTCTGAAAGTCTGTAAACTGAAACCGTGTAAGATAAGAAAAGTAAAAACAGGCAGAACTGAATGTGCTGAGCTGGGAAGACTGTCTTGGGGACTGGGGACAAACACTGACATGGAATCTATAAAACCTGAGGGAGTAATCAGAGACGTAGAAGATGGCATCTCTGCAACTATGAGGACTTGTACTGAAGTACTGGGGTATTTTGACATGACTGAAATGCTTTTCTTATCAAATATAAAGTCTGCAACACCAATAAAAAGTAACAGAAATCACCTCATATGCTTTTCTCTCCCCCTCTCTCTTTTCGTTTTCCACATTTTTCCTGCACTGATCTTCATCTCGTCAGCTCCCTCTGACCCATCTGAAATACGCTTCTCTGATCAGCCTCTGGTCAAAAGTGCCTCTTGATACCTTTTACCGCTCTGCTCTTGTTTCACTCCATGAAATCACGTGAATCATATAAACCCCCAAGGCGCACTTGGCATGTGGTACTGTTGTCTCCAGTGTCCACACTGGGATGGTGGTGTGGCCCTGGAGCGCTGCAGTGACCAGCCAGCCCTCTGCACTGCCACGCAGGTGCCCAGCTTGGCAGCGGGGCTGGAGGGGTGAGAACGACATTCCCAGCCCCAGTGTGAGTATCCGGGGTTGGGGTAGGGACTAAGGGCCCGAGAGGCTTTGCACTTTACACAGGCACCAGGGTGAAAATAACTTTGTTTCTAAATCACAGCAGGCACTGGGGCTGCTAGGCCCTGGCAGAGGTTCCCCCTTGCTGTCAGAGCCAAAGCCAGCAGCTGTCTCCATAAGCACAGTATGTTTCATATATGGCAGACTCTCAGCTGCCTTCAGATCCCTCTGATTAAAGAAATCACCTTGTTCTGGGAGTGTCTAGTGTGCCATCTGGGACGTGCTCTGCAGCTCCTCAGACCAAACTGGAGAAGCTGTGTTTCCTTGTCTCTCATGTTTTTCATAACAGTCTCCTTCCTACCCGCACCATATTTCTTGTTGCCAATCTTCTCATCTCATTTCTGCTACCAGGTGGTTAAGCAAGCAGAAGGACATTGGACAAAAGGGACTACCTGGACAATTTAAGCTGCACTGCAAGTATACATTGGTTCCATCCATTTTAATTTGGGGGGAGTTTGTGGTTGGTTGGGTTTGTTATTTGTTGATTGTTTTATTTGTGTTTTTTTCAATAAATTAAGATGCAAACATAAAATGGTTGGCAGTTTAGCTGTCCTTGAAATGTCAGGTCTGAGAACCATATTTGGAATGAGATTTATCCATTTTGGCATATAGTGAAAGTTACAGTGAGAAATTATTTTAGTGCCAGGTCTCCAAAGCTACAAAGTGTGAACTAGATATAGACAAAAGGTGGAAAAATGTATCCCATGAACTAACCAGCCCCTTGATTAAATCACTCAGGAACCTGTACAAGTAGGATTTCATACAGAAGGAAGAGATGAAGGTGCACAGGAAAAAAGACTTTCTAGTCACACTGTGAGCTCCTGCTTTGTAGCAGCTGCTGCTGCCCAAACTCCTCTAAGAAAACCAGTCTCTGCTGTAAGCTGATGGCAGAAATGTTGTTGCATGGTGTACAGTAGCATTTACTAAACAGGCAAGAGATACATTTTGGAAAGAGACTCTCAGCAGTCTATCAACTGGAAAATAAATTATCTTTTTCTGCAGCCCACTCCATTATACCCCACTGCCCTTAGTTGCCTCCTCTGAACTTGGATTCACTACATTTCCAGGCACATCTGGGCTTAGAGAACATATTATGTAGCACAAGGGAGAGCAGGTGGTCCTGTGCAGCCCTGTTTGTGTTCAGCCTAATCTGAGAGATTGGCTTTTGGAGGAGGGGCAGAGATCTGGGGGCATATATGCAATTCATCATCACTGTTTCCAGCTGAATGTGAGAAACTGCTACACCTGCTGCTCTGCTTCTGATGGGCTTTGAAATATAGGCAGGCTGAAGGACGTGTGAGTTTTTCTTTCATGATAACAAAAATAAGCACTTTGTTCTGGTATCTGTAAAGTTAAGGCAGTTTCCTACAAGCAGCGATAATTCAAGAGCAGTTTCTGGCTTGTGATTGACACATGAAAAGGAAGAGTATTTTTGGAAACACTGGCTGATTTTATTATTAAAAAAAAAGGAAAGAAAATCACTGCTAATTTTCAGTTTGCTGAGTCTTTTAATACATAATTTCCAACTGAAACACATTGAATTATCAGACGGAAGAGAAGTAATTCATTGCTGTGAGATAAAACCATCAGTATAAAGTAACTGCTAGAAATCTTCATCGTGCCCTAGGAAGGCATCCAGGTGCTTCTATGCCACAAGAAGTTTAAACAATGTTCAGCTGTGAACTAGGACCCAGAATAAGGATGCAAAGCAAATGCCTGTTGACATATACAACCTGTCCCAGGGGAATGAGAGTGCATTAGACGACTGGGAAGATCCCTAAAACCAAACTGCAGGTATGGGTGCCCTGATGGGAAGCAGACCAAACATACAGTAGCTTGGAGGCTGTGTTGGAAGATACAAGCTGTAAATGCACTTTCTGTGTTTGCCAGACACTTTTAGAGAAAACTGGGAAGATTCAGTCCCAACTCATGAAAGATTTTTGCAAATCTGCAGATGCCAAGCCTGAGTTTGAGGTCCAGGAGAGGCCAAGTGCCACCTGTGTGGTTGCTGCTGCAGCAGTACTAATGCATCCTCCCCGGTGCAGAAATTGGGGAATTTTGCTGCCCTGCTGTGGGGAGCAGGTGGGTTCGTGCAGGGTAAGTGCAGAACTACTGGTGCTGGCTGCCCCATCCCATCCTGACCTCCTTCACCCTCTCCCCTTGCTGCAGTACCACAGCTGCCTCGACCACTGTCCTTCCCTGCAGTGAGTAGTTCACCTGCACTACCAAGAGCCCTTAGGCTAATTTGGGGATTTAGGGAAGGCAATAAGAGGTATACTAACAGTGCATATAGATAAAGTAATACTTGATTTTTGAAAAAAATTTGAAATACAGTTTTCAAACGGTGTTTAAAAATGGATTCCAAGAAGAATCTGAACTTCCCTTGTAAATAATCAAAATTATAAGTTATCCACTGGAAATACAATCTGTAGCTTCATTGAAGTTCATTTATTTAAGCAGGCTGTGAATTATTCTGGTTTTTTTCATCACCTGACTATCTGGCTGACTCTGTGTAATATTAGCGTCTGCATCTGTATAATGGAAGTAATAGTACTATGCATCTTTGAAGACAACCCTGGAATTTCAGAATAAAGAGTTTATTTAAGTGCTGGATTTTACTTTGTGGAAACTCTGCAACCTGATTCATTTCAAGTGAATCTCGAAAGTGTTGTGGAGTCCAGTGGGAGCAAGATTGGATTACTGCAAAATGCAGGCTTGAAATCAATTATATATTTATTACCTTTAAAACAATTATCCATTACATTCCCTCTTAACCTTTTCATTATTGTTTTACACAGGGTAAAAGAGCTACTCCAAGAAGTGACTCTGTCCAAATGTGAACATGAACAGAACATCGTGCTTTCCAAAGCAATTACAATTCTCATTCACTCTTTCCATCTCCCTCATGCTTGCTGTGTGTAATGAAGCTGAAAGACAACAAGGGACATGGTCACTGGAGATACTTGTCAAGCCTGTGACTGAAGCTACTGAAGTTCTCTACTGATATGCCACGTGAAAGCTTGGGTAAAGAAGTGCTACACTTCCAAAGTCAAACATTCAGTTACTAGGAAATAACCAAGTCATATCTTCCAAGGCAGCCTTAGCTCAATTTTCCTATTTATGCACGTTATAATATAGTATTTAATTATGTCACCACAGATAAGTTATTCCTGAAATTTCCTCCTAATAACTTCTCTGAGCATTTGTGTATCTATGTAGCTCTTAGAGCTGGGCCTTTATTTCTCCCAGAAAGCACTGTATTAGAACCCAGCAGAGAGAGATTTGATCTAAACTCTTGATTTCCTAAAGTCTCAGAGGCAAAGTCAACCTGGCATGACAGCCCTTAGTGAGGAGAGCTGGGGGCTTGGCCCACAAAGTACAAAGTGGAGCTATGTGTCTGTCCGTCCCATCCGCTTCTCCCTTACATTTTGCTAGAAGTACAGTGACCAAAGTGATGGCTTAGTGCCTCCCCAGCAATTCAGCCCCACCACTTGCTGATTAACCAAAAGCCCCTTGCCCAGTTGGAAGAGCCCATCCATGCTAGCTGAGGATTGAAGATTTTATTTTGCTCTAGAGAAAGGAAAACTGCAGTGTGGTTTTAAATCCTTTCACAGAGGAAGGGTATAGAGCAGGTGGCCAAACATGCTAAGGAGGACTTTGGACTCAGGCTATGGCTGGTCTGAGACTGGGAGGTGTCAGGAAACACCTTGCAAAACACTGGGAGTAAGAGTGGACAGCAGCTCTGCAATTTTCATTTTCCTTTCGGCAGTAGCTAATTAGTCTCTGTGTAGGGAACAGGTTCCCGGTGAAAAGCAAAGCCCTGCACTGGCTGTTACCAGGCAATTATTCATTGCCATTCAAGCAATTATTGCTGCCTCTGGGACAGCAGCTACTTTCTACTTTGAGAAACACCGGAGACAACTTTCCATTAAGCAGTCACTCTTGTTTACAGGAAAATGCACAAATAAATAATAGAAATAATCTACCAAGGCAAAATTTGATCGTTTTGATTTTTCAGTGAAAAACCTAAGGGAAGACACTGATGTAGAAAACACTGAAGGTTTTTGGCTCTACCTGGGGAAAAATAAAACCTCTAAATAGTTGAAAGCCTTTTCTCTAAGAGATTTACCTCATGTTTTCAAAAATGATGATAACCTCTCCAAATAGGTAGAAAAATATCAGTAATCCCAAGTTTGTGGGGGAACAAAGAACTTGCATAGCTTTTCTTTCAAAGACTTAGTTGCTTTCAAGTGTTCCAGTTGCTGATTATTTCAATAGGAAAGTTTGAAAGGATGAATGTGTCTGTTCTATGCCAAGTGACACTCAAGATGATCCTTGCTGCATGCGCTGGCTCAGGGTTGCTGAAGGCCTGTGTTTGAAGCCACGTGAACAGCAGCGAGGTTGCACATTCAGTGCCACACAGAGACATCTGCAGTTTAACGGGAATTTCTTTGTCTGGATATGAGCACTGTACATGCCTAGGTCTCCATGACGTTCGGTTTCGAGGTTTCTTGCAGGACACTGATTTATAAAAAGCTGGTTAGAAATAATGAACAGGATCAAATGGAAATGAACGGCGCAGCAGGGAGAGGATCTGTCCTTTTAACAAGCCGTGGCAGTAACAGATGAAGCAAACTGGCCTTCCCTGGCTCCGCAGCTTGGCTGGGGAATTGCTCTCACAAGGGGGCCGAGCCCACAATAGCGTGGTAGCACAATCGCTCATGAAACTAGAAATGTTGCTCTCCTGGAGGGCTTACGTGGCACATCGTTGTGCAGAGCTGGGGAAATAAGGTGCGCATTTCTCATTCGATGGTGATAGTAGGCTTTTTCAGGAGCTTTGCCGACTTCCCACATCATACTTTCGTAGCCTAAAGCGGGTCAAAGCCGGGAAGACCGTGGCAGCCTGTGCTCTGCTCGGCAGAGCAAAGACAGCTCTGATGCTGGCACCGCCCGGGGTGGGAGCGCTCCCGGCACAGGGGCCTGGGGACGGAGCAGCCGCGAGTCAGTCATTGAGAGATCGGCTGCGCTCGGGGGCACGCACTTTTCATTCCCAGTTTTCCGGGCAGAAAGGCTTCCCCAGCAGCCATCTGCCCGGCCCCGCTCCCAGCCCGCCTGGGGTGTAATGGCTCCTGGGGGAAGCATCTGACTCATTTACCCTGGGCTGATAACATATTGCAGATATTTTGCAGGCGGCAGCTGAGCTTTTTGATGCCTCCTGATGCCTTAAAGAGAGTTTTGTTCCTTTTGCCTCCAATGTACATGCCGGTTCCTCCATGGTGTTTTTGAGGGCAGAACCTGTCATCCCACAAGTTATTACTTGCTTCTGTACATCTGCCTCCTCTGAGAGAACTGAGGAACAAAATAGTTTTTTAAAGGGGCCCTGTTTACTAAATAAGTTACTCTTTACCTAAGAGTGCATGACCTGCTGTAAATGTTCATAAAACTTTGGGGTAATGCCTTAAAATCAGCCTAAATTACTTTATTGTTGATCTGTTCTATTCTACTACATTCCTTTATTTTATTTTATTTTATTTGTATTCTTCAGCTTGCTCTTTTTACTCCCATGTAGCCCTTATAAACACATGTTACTGTTAGTATGTCAGGATCAAAGGAAAAAAGAAAGATACTCTATTGCTATCTCTTTTCATCCTCCCCTGAGGATGCTGTGATTTAGTTTCTAATCTGGAGGGCACTGTCATTGGGAACAATGCCAAGTCCTTTTTTCATAGCATGTATGAGACTGAAATTGCTCATTAAAATTCTTTCCCACCTTAGTGCACAGTGTTTGCTGTGGGCTGCACTGTTTGACTGTCTGTGTCAATACCGTCTGGCCTCTCAGCATCTCCGGCCTGGCAGGGCATTATCCCTTTCTGACCCTGCCTTGGAATACTTGCAGGATTGTATTTGTGTGCCTTCCAAGTTTCAGCATCTTCCCTTTATAGATTTAATGGCCTCACCAGTTTTATCTGCTGCTGATTTTTCAGCTCATTTATCTTGGTTACATTTAGTTAATTGAGACTAATGTTTTGTTGAAAAATATCTCTCTTGGTCCCCAAGCTGAGCTTTTGAAGTGAATAGATTTGGGTAGAAATTCGCAAATGAGCTATTAATATCATCACTGCAAAGATACTCTCTTCACCATCGTACCCACATTGGCCTGGAGGGGATTGCTTTTCCTGACTGATAGTCAAACAGTTGCCAGCATCACTTTCTCCTTTCAGTACAGCTGGGACTTTATGTCTGTAAGCCTAAACTACTGCTGAGTGCTATACTAGAGCCAGTCTTACTTCTGAAGGTGAGACTGTTTTATATTAGTTTTTATCTCAAAAAATGGAAAAATATATATTTTATCTTTAACTATTAATTAATAATTAATTAATCTGAATTCTTATTTGGCTCTTACATTTAGGTATCATGAGATACCATCTGGGAGCAGGAGGCAGAAGTAGTTACACATGCTAAACCAAAACCCTTGCTCAGTAACATGTGAAACTGTGATGAGCTACTTCAGAGATCCCATCACTGCAACCATAGGGCACCTCCTCAAGTAACACTGCTCAGCAACAGGGAAGCACCTGGTAGTCTTTTTAGAGTTAGTCTGTCCTCTTGCAGTTTTATCATGTTTGTCGGCCTGATGTTGCAAAGTGCGTAAAGGTGCATCCATTTTTCTGTGTCAGGAGTAGTTCTTGGCATTCCTTCAAACAGGGTGAACCGGGGTTTGTCTTGGCTCCAGGCTGGTGTGGCTGAGGATGCCTCTACTGCCTGCCTTTCCAGCTTGTCACTGTGACCCACAGGCACTCTCCAGCCACTGTGACACACACTGTGCCAGGTCCCTGTAGCCCAGGCACCACAAGGGTTGGTTGCTCAGCTGCTCTACAGCTGCAGCACTCTCTGTACAGCTGGAGAAATGCCATTTTTACCAGCAGCAGGTCTTCGTCAAGTATTTAGTGGCCACATCTTTCACAACTCCTGCCCATTTTTGTATCCTTAATGATGTGTGAGTGTATGATTAAAATTCTACTACTAAAAGTAGCTAGATGTTTGGAAAAAGTTTGATCTACATCCCACAGAAGGAAGAAAAATGTCATAATGTTTGGTCTTACATTTGATTGAGAAACTGGTCAAACTCTCAGACATACAAATCTAATTTCCTAAAGTTGGAAGAAAACTTGAGAGACACCATCTTAAACCAACAAGTCATTTTATTAGGGGAGAACCAGGAGACAGAGCCAGTCCAGGAAAACAAGCTCTTCCAGGTGTCAGTCCGTGACATCACAGCACTGCTGGGGCAAGCAGGAGTGGAGACCTCAGGGAGGGACAAGCCTCTCCCTGGCTGGGAAGCAGAAGTGATGGCAGCATCCTGAGCAGGGGTGACAGATGGTATTTTTTCTGCAAAGTGGGGATGGGAATGTCCCACCACCACTGAATTCCTAGGCTGCACTTCAGTGGACTGCAGAGGGTAGTACCATGCCCGGAGACAGGCAGCCAAGATCTAATTGCACCTTCAACTACCTCCTAGTCAGTGAAAGAAAGTTATGTGAGAGTGACCAGACTGGAAGTGAGTTTTCTGCTCCTTGTGCTTATTTCCTCAGCAAAGACACATTAGCTGACAAGCTGTGAGGCATTTCTAGTACTTTTGTCATGACTTATTATCATGGCTGCTTTCTGCAGGATATTACCAGCCTCACAGGCCACTTAACATTTATAGCAGCTATCACCAAAATGAGTGCAATATGTCTTCAATCTCTTAGTCTCCTCCAGAATGGATGGGATACAGAGAGCAGGGAAGGAGAGGGTGTTTCTCCTGGAGACCCTCATCTACTGCGGCAATTTAGCCTGTGCTAAAACTAATCATACAGGTTGTATCATTTAAAAGGAATACTCCCAGGTAGAAAGGTAAACACATGCTTCAGAGTAAGACTAGGTTAGGGGGTGAATAAATATCACTGATACTCAGGGCCATTTAATGCAAAAATGTTAGTTGTGGTACAGAGGGATTAGGTTTGACAGGATAAAAAAGACCAGCCGGCATTTCTAGATCCCACAGCCAAGTTGATAACAGGTATTTTATTCTGTTATTATCCGTGGATTATCATCTAGTGACATTAAATTGCTGATAATAATGCTAACCAGTGGCACAGGGTTCAGCAGGAGGGCATCCCAGAGACTACAGCAGGACTTGTGCTGAGTGGGGCAGTTAACATGACACATATGGGCACAGGTGGAAAGTCTTCAGGAAGGCAAAACATTTTTCTTTCCTTTTGGAAATTGCTTTCTCTGAAAACACTGCTTTGCCTTAAAGCCAAAAAATTTGCTTCATGTTGCTAAGAGGATGTGCTGAATGAACAGGATACAATATCAATACTGAGAAAGCTCAGTGTCACTGTTCCCTGGTCTTGGCTTCACAGTCATGGAACAAAGCAATCCAATGAAAGAAGTTAAATCTCAATATTTCCATAAGGAACTTGTGTTCTGAAATAGATTTGCTTTTTGGTGCCCAAAATTAAACATCACAGATAATTTTTTAGAAATTGTTGATCAAATTCCAGCTCTGAACATAAAGACTCCTGGCAATTCAGCCATGGTGAGTATGCACAGCTCTATCCATATTTAGGTATCTGAATGCGAGAACCCTGGCCATGATCTCCAAGCTGACTTCATGAAAGAACACAGAGCTGCTGCAGCTCAGCTCATTCTTGCTATTTTCATGACCTTTTGTGCTCCATAGGTACATTTATGATGACTGAAGGGAAACGGCCCTGTTTTATGGGAATCAAGGGAAGGAAATAGCATTTCTTGAATATGTTTTTGGTTTTGTTTTTTATTTTAAGTCTGAATAGAGCACTGAAGCTTTTGGCCTCCACAAGTTCAATGAAATGCTTAAATACTGAAACATTTTCACTCTTGGCTCATTACTTGGGGCTTTCAGCATTGTGTTTGAAAAGAAGCTATTTACGGGTTATCAAAAAACTGGGCTGGGAGAAAGGAA